CAAAACTGAGACGAAGAAGCAATACTTTCTCATTTTTTTTGTAATATATTCCTTATATAATTATACAGCGACATACAGAGCCCGATTTTGCGCGCGCGCAATTTGATTCTCAAAACTTTATAAAAAATAAGTGTGCGTTTTTAAGAAAGAAATTTTTTTGATGATTTTTCCAAAAAAGCGCTCTGTACGTCGCTCGGTATACTTTTCTTGAATATGAATCATTATTATTATGCGTTTCTCTCGTAATTGTGTCTGAAATATTGGAATAACTTCCATGTTTTACTTCTATTCTGACAGACGTGCTATTTCATTCTTGTCGACCCTTAAAGAAAAAACATGAAATATGCAATTTTTTACATATTTTTTTAACTTGATTTTTTTATTAAAAAAGTAGGACTAAGAAAAAAAACAACAGCATTCAAAAGAGTTAACTTTTAGTTTTCCAACGGTTTTTTGCAGAGTGCTGTACAATGATTTTTTCACGAGCCATTTTTTAATAAGCGATCAAAGTCTAAATAATTATTTTTGCTTCAATCTTCGATAACTCGGTCAAAAAAAAATCGTACAGCGATCAGCAACTACTCAAACTAAAGGGAAAAGACACCACTAAGATGCATTTAACAGAAATTCTCGGCGATGTTTTTCAAAGCCAAATGTAACATTAAAAGTCGCATTAAAAATGTTTATTTTGACGGATCAAGCTTTATCATGCCATTTTGTAAAAAAAAAAGAATTAAAATCTGATAAAAAGCATTTGAAAAAAGAAGTTTTAAGCTTTAAAATGCTTTTTTTTTAAATACGATGATTTTTCGCGGAGTTACAATGCTTTGAAAATTGCCTTCCCAAGTAGCACATGTTCGTTTCACAAATGTTGAAACGTTTCATAACGATTCTAAAAAACGTTTCTCATTGATAAAAATGTCAACCCGAAATACGTTAAGAGAAACGTTATTTTATTTATTTACTACGTTTATTTTTTCGACAAAAAACGTTTAAGAAACGAGCAAAAAAACGTTATTTTTCCGTCAAAAAACATTCCGTTTAAGAAATAATCAAAACAGAGTTTTTTTTTATCCGCAAAAAGTACTTTTTTTACGGAATTAATAAAATAATGCATTCATACATATGTATATGTGTATCCAAGTAGCACAAATATCTTAAAAACATCTGTAAGAAGGCCTAATGAAGGCCTAATATAGGTCGTAACGTTTGTCTTTTTAATATATGGTATAATATATTGCATGAATAACTAGCAACGACTCTTTTTGCCTTTTTCACCTAATATTAATTGATATTTTTATTAGAGCCTTAATATTATTATTGTATTTTAATATATATAACTCACCTTATTTGCCGCAGAAGTGCGAAGATATTTAGTATAAATTTTGGCGTTCGGCGTTTTGATACGAAATAGGTCAAGTCGTAAGTCATGTCATAACGGCTATAATCCAGTGATGCGATATTTTCTACCGGGCTCCCGGCTTCAGAGTTCCACAAGCGAAAAGTGCGTACATATGCTGCGCAAAGCGTTCAGCACATGTACGCGCTTCTCGCTTGTGTGGGGCTCGGAAGCCGGGAGCCCGGTAGGAAACATCGCATCACTGTTATGATCTATACATGAGAATCGATAATTCTAATCTCAACGCCCTCTTTAGTATTCGCACATTTGGAAATAGAAAATAACATGTAGTCTCTGTAGTGATTGTACGTATACATAATTTTGAATTAAAAACATTAATTTTTTTCTGTTTTTTAAAAACGTAAAAAAAACGTTTTTTAAATTATGGTTTCAAAAATGTTTCTGTTGAATGGTTTCAAAAACGTTTCTTATTGATGCTTAACGATTAAGAAATATTGGATACATTTAGGAAACGTATATGAAACGAACATGTGCTACCTGGGATTGTTTTTAAACAGTTTTTCTTGATCCCTTAATTGTTGCGCGTAATACATTTTTGGTATATTTTGTTTTGATTTTTTCATAATTTTGTTATTATACGTACATTTTGAAGTTCAATTCAAATTCAACGCATAAAAAAAACAGTAATAAACTATTCTTGTCCGTTAACTCTTATTTTTTTAATAATAAAACTATGCAGGACAATATAATTGTGAACATTTTATCAGATTTTTGCAAAAAGTATTTTTGCGCAATATATTAAATTAACTTTAAGATTAAAATGTGTATTTTGCAATTATTCCCACCAAAAAAATTAACTGTTGCACTTTTTTGTACTCTATACCATACACGAATCATGATCAAGATGATCATGATCGCTAATCTTTTCTTGTTTATGTACACCTTTATAACAACATCATCACCGTTGCAATTTTCCTCGTTTACATTTAAGGAAATCATTTTAAATAGATAATATCACATTGTAAGACATATTTTATAACGTAAACAAAATCACTTAATATATACACAACAATAATTTATATAACGATTTTATAAACTATCTCTATGTGTTTATTTGCGCAAGCACACACAACAGCCGATATAATAAATTAATTCGTTCTAGAACAACCGGTCGCAATCTAATTTATGCGCTTAACATCACTTATTGTTAGATACAGTGAGAATAATTAATTAATATTCGATTATCGATGTCAATGCTACTAGTATACTTAATAATATACACATCAGATATAATCAATTAACCCCTTAACACGGAAGTCCGAGTTAACTCGGACAAGCGGTACTAGCAAATTATGCAAGCCCGAGTTAACTTGGACAAGCGATACTGGCAGAATTGTACAAGTCTGAGTTAACTCGGGCATGAAAAATAATTACACTGAAGTTATTTATGTATATGTATCTGATGAGTACAGATACCAAACGTACAGCTCGTCAGGAATTTTGTTTAATTTTGTTTTACTCTGTTATCAGCAATGTAACAATATTGTTTTTAACCTAATATTTGTATCTTTTTGTCCCGAAAAGTGAAGTTATTATTATGCATAATTATATTAAATTATTAATTTCAATGGATAAAAAGATTATTTTTGCCATTTTGTTGCAAAAAAATCGTGCGTTAATGGGTTAATATTATTCCTATACCTTCATTGACATGCGTCATGAATTTAATTTATTTTTATAATTGTATCTTTTTTAAAGTTTCTGTTAAATTTAATTATTCATTGACACAAAGATATTGTTATAATAATTTGCGTAGTTTTTACATCTTTCTTTCTATTTTTCTATTTTCTCTCTCTATGCATTATTTGTCGCTATACAAGATACCCGAAAAAGAAAAATATGAGGAGTAATGAGGGTGTTTATATTTCCATTAGTTTGCTGGAAAATATTGGTCCATATTCACATTTTGATCTAGTATATCATTCAGCGCTAAATGTCAGTCAAGTATTAACTTGAAGTTTATTTAATTAATTGTAAATTGTAACATGATTGTCATTAAGCGCTAAATTCATAACTCATATTTCATAATAATATTGCGAGCTCTCATTCTCATATAGATTAATTATATAACTACTTAGATTAAAAAGAATAAGTAAGTAATAAAATTCTTCAGAATAATAATAAAGAATAACAAAGAAATTTTAAATTAAACTTATATGTGAGAAAAAACATCAATTAAAGATTATATTGACTTATACCAGTAAAGTCAGCACATTTCTTTATGGATAGAAGGCTATTAATATAAATCTTTTTGGAATATCTTGTATACTTCGTACTAAGGAATATATTTAATTTTTAAATAAGCCTGTTATTATTTATGGAAGATTAACAGTAATATGTTACAAGAAGAATGCAATCTACATGATTTATTCATTTATCATCGATCACTATTTTTATAAGACTTCATGCCCATTTGGTTCTGCCTTCATTTTTAAAATGCTTGATAATATTGTACATTTAATTCTTATCCATTCAGTTTTGCACATTTTATAAGCTAAATTAATATTATATTATTTTACCTATAAATTTGCAATACTTAGTGTAAATAATTAAAAAAAAAAAAAACGGGAGATATTTTTTATAAAGTCATGAATTATAAATTTCTAATAAATTTATAGTTTCATATGCAATAAAGGATCTATTCAAGAGCGGAATTTTTTATTGAAAAACAATGATAATGATTGATGTAAGTAATGAATAAAAAGCAATATAAATAAAAAATGTTTTTACATTCAAAATACTATGTATAATATATACTGGGATATAATATTAAAGATTCTTCATTAACTTTCTGCATTCGTAGAAGAATCATAGTGTCTGAAAATATATAATGAGTAAAGAGCTGTATAAAGAAATCCAAGCATTTACTGTGCTATCAAAAATTTATATATGCAAACATCGCTGTATATGTGATGCGGAAGATTTAAATTTATTAGCAAATACTATCAAAACAAAATTTTTACAAAATATAAAGATAAACTTTTGTAAAAGAAATTTCTTGATATTTATTGTATCCGTAAGTTTTTAATTTCTGCAATTCACAGAATTGCAAATCTGCAATTTATTTAAATTGCTATAATTTTTCTACACTTTCGGACTTTAATTTTTTTCTTTTACATCTTATCATTATCTTAGATTTATAATTCTTTACATGATTTGACTGTTCAATTCATAAATCCTTGAATCCCTTCATTTTGAAATTCTTACTGCAAATTAATATTTTCAACATTTAAGCGCTTCTTGTGTTAGATTCTTAAATTTTTAATTTTGATCTCTGACTGTATTCTATTCAAGTTTTATATTGTTAAATCTTTAAATTTAATTCTTAGATTTTTAGTTACTCCAATGTTTTAGTGTTTTAATATTCTGTATTTTAATAAATTAATATAAATAATAAATAACAACGCAGGAAAATGATACAATTAGACAATAACATATTTACATATATATCTACCAGTTCTAAATCAAATATAGATATATTCTAAATATATTCCAGTTATTTCTGCATATTATTTTAGTACCAAATAAATATAACACATACTAAATCAGTTATTCAAATAAAATATGGACACATGCAAAATGCAGTAAAATAAAATTTAATCGAGAAATTAATCACATTTTGTGCATTGAGAAACTTATTTGATGAAAAATAAGCAATATAATGCTCTCTAATTTGAACATCTATAATTGTCGCCAAAATAGTCATTAAGATTTACAGATTTCAAAATTCTTAAATCATTAGATTTGTAACTTCTGCAGTCTTATACATATTTTTGTATACTTGAATAGAAATATCTATTAAAAAAATAAAAATAAAAAAATACTTTTACTGTGCAAAAACTACAACATTATTCTAAAGTAGTATATTAAATTTCTAGAAAAATAATATAAATTTTAGAATTTTCTACATTGTAGAAAATATAAAAAAAATGTATACAATCTAAATTTCACAAATTTAGAACAGTGAAAACTAAACTCTTATTTTAGTACAGAGTGCGTTTTATGTAAAATAAATTTTTTTTAATTTTAAGAAATAGAGTATGAACAACTACTAAACTGTGAATGATTGAAATAGCCATCACTATACGCACCTTAAACTCACACATTACATAGAAATATTTATAAATAATATTAACATTTTATAGAAACAACTGTATGCTATTAATTAATTTTCTTTGATCTAAAAGTATTCATTAACAAAAAGAGAAAAGAAAATATTTTCAACTTGGAACAAATACAAAAGTATAGCTCTCACAAACAAGTGGAATAATTTTTGTTATACTACATTTTAAATATGTCCACAGCATTCTTTTCCTTCTGCGCAATGGCACGCAGAAAATAATAATACAAAACAATGTAGCAACTGATAATGAAAGTTTTCTAAAAAGACAATGAGAATTAAATATAAGCGGGGGAGAGATTAAGAGTGAGGCGGGAAATAACATTGTTGCGTATTGTTGCGCGTGTGGTTCTTGAGCTCTTGATTATCTGGATAACCATAATACGACAATCATGGCAGACAACGACAGCGACGCCGTGCAGTCGTTCCGCTGCCATGCGCTGCTCGGCGGTTGGCCCACTTGAACTGGAGAACGTTTTTGTGGTCGAAAGGGCAGCAGGACTGCCACTAGCCTTATAGGACCTGTACAAATCATGAAAGTTATATTCAAGAAAAAGAGTACTTATGTAAAAAATATAAAAATGTTAGCTATAATTAATTTAAGTAAAAAGTTAATGTTACTTTGAATATTATCTAGCATGCATTTTTCTAGAAACTTAATTTTGCTTGGAACTGCATATTTTTGATAAATTCTGTCACATTTTATTTTTATAATGTATTTAACAAAATTGCAAATATAAAAATTAATATTATGAATCCGTTTCTCTTATTATTTTATAAAAAATATAAAAATATGTATAAAAATGTGTTTATAAAAAATGTAAAAATATAAAGTAATGTTGTCGAAAAATATTGTACGAGATATTTTAATCCCTCATCGGTAAAGCGCATTGTATAGTACGTTCCTGAAATTATTTTGAGATGAAAATTTTAATATCAAAATGTCAAGATTATAATAATTTTTAAATGAGAAGCATTTAAAGTTGATCAATCAAGTTGTTCCAAATTTGCGTGCCCAGGGATAGTACATTACACAGTAATAAAGGTATCTTCAGATATTGATTTGTTTTTATAAAGCAGCCGATCGTCCCGGATTAGGCGAAACACTCACAGATTTCGATAGTTTATTCCGCATAATAATGAGTTCCAGAAATGTCACACATTTTATATAATTTCTACCGCTTGTTGCTTACTTTTATAAAATTCGTGTACACTTTCACATATAATAGATAATAAACACCACTGTTACAAGAACTAAGACGTAGCTTATATGCGAACAATCCAGTGCGTGTGCTGCGTGCGCTGTTCTCTTTAATAAATAAAATGTACAACAGAAAAAATAAAAATAAAAATAAAGATGGATACGTTAAAATCTATTATTATATTAAAATTTAACATGAGATCTTGCAATAATTTTTATAATAACTTGTGAAATAATTCACAATTACTTAAACCAGCGCTCGGAATTAGTTGCATTTCGGGCCGATTCCCGAGACGACGCCTCCTGTTCCCCCACTACCGCCCAACCACTGGCGGCCAAGCCACCAATAGCTCTGGTTCAGGAGCGTTTTATATAAGAAATAAGCTGGATTATTGAGTCTAATTAAATATATATATATTATGTATTATTGAAAATAAACATTATTTATGTAGCGAAGAAAATGTTACGATTTCCTGAGAGATGCCTAAACAACCAGTCTATTTCTAATATAAAACGCTCCTGAGCCAGAGCTATCGGCGGCTCGGTCGCCAGCGGCCGGGCGGTAGTGGGGGAACAGGAGGCGTCGTCTCGGGAATCGGCCCGAAATGTGCAACTAATTCCGAGCGCTGACTTAAACAAATACATTCCATTGAAAAATACTAAAAATATGTTTACTATAATTTTGAATTATTCAATGTAACATAAGTGGAATAAATGTCTTTTTCTAATTAAAAATTTAGAATTTTTTATGCGGGTGGACTTTCGAAAAGCTATCACCCCCGATTTGGCTGATATTCAGCCTAAATATTTATTTTATCTAGTAAATAATATTCCTAAATGGATTTTTAGGCAAATGCCCCCTCTGCCCCCAGCCCCCCTCAAAGGTAAAACTGTTTTCGTTAATTATTTCAGAAAGTATTCATTGTACGGAAAAAGTTGTTAAACATAAAATAAAGCTCATAATAAGCTCTACAAATAAGGTCCTATACATATTTTACTTAACTCCAATATTTTAGTCATTATTATAAAAAAAAAACTTGTAAAAGCCCCCGTAGGAAGGGCGGAACACACTGCCTCCACACATACACTTTTTACGGGAAGCAAGGTTCCACGTGGGTTTACGAGTTTCTACGCAAAGCGAGATTCAATCCAAACCCTATGTGTATAGTTTTTTGATAGTGGAGCCTCTCGCAGGGGGGCGGAACACACTGCTTCCACACATACACTTTCTACGCCAAGCGAGGTTCCACGTGGATTTACGAGTTTCTACGCCAAGCGAGGTTCCACGTGGGTTTACGAGTTTCTACGCAAAGCGAGATTCAATCCAAACCCTATGTATGAACTGTATGAATTGTATTTATCAACATTGAATTGTATCGTTGTTTTGTATCAACACTTTCCGAGATATTTCGTGAAAACGGTGTTGATACTTAAAAAAAACTGATTTCACAGTTTTTTGATAATAACGACTAAAATATTGGAGTTAGGTAAAATGTATACGACCTTATTTGTAGAGCTTATTATGAGCTTCATTTTTTGTTTAACAACTTTTTTCCGTACAATAAATACTTTCTGAAATAATTAACAAAAACAGTTTTACCTTTGAGGGGGGCTGGGGGCGGAAGGGGCATTTGCGCCGAAAATCCATTTGGGAATATTATTTACTACATAAAATAAGTAATTCGCTAAAAATCAGCAAAATCGGGGGTGATAGCTTTTCGGAAATTTATCCTTTTATGCTAAAACTTTGTTTGTAAGAAATATAATTTGTGTCACTTGCATGTATTCTCGGTAATTCTAAGCTTTAATCATTAGCATATATCTATGAGATGTCTCGCATGTCTCCCATTAGCTTTATAGAAAATCTTCACATGTTTTGTATTGGCGTATTGTATTGTATTGTATCTTAGAAATCTGACTAGCCTTTACGCTTTTATTTTTGTACGTAAAATTATATCTATATTTAAAAGCAAATCGATACCTAAAAGTATGTGATGTAGCCTTATTAGTATGTGATGTACCATGCCTGAGCGCGCAAATTTGAACCAATGATTAATCAAAATCATGAAATGCTTTCCATTTAAAAACTATTATAGCCTCGATCAGGACCGCGCCAACCCGGGAGGTGCAAGGGGTACGCCACACCCGGGCGGCACAATAAAGAGGGCGGCAAATTTGTGAAATAAATTGCTAAATTAAAAACGAATATTAAATCAATATAATTTAGTTTATTTTATTTATCAATCCCAGAAAACTGAAAATACTTACAATCGTATCGTTCTTGTGTGTTGCCGACTATCAACATAAATATAACATCAATAGAAGATGAATTCATTAACTGTTTTAGAATATATTTTTGCAAATGATTTTATTGGTTTATTTCTAAATCTTGCAGTAGCTTTGCGCATATTTTTAACAATACCCGTAACAATGGCTACAAGAAAAAGATCTTTTTCTAAACTAAAAATAATAACAAATCAATCAAGATCGACCATGACACGGGAAAGGCTATCCAACGCAAGTATTAGTATTATAAATAAAATAACTGAATTAAATATAAATAATATAGTAAATAAATTCGCAACAAAAAAGCACGTAAAATTAAATTCATATAAAATTATAAAAAATGATACAGTTTTGTAAAATTTTTATGTTGTTCAAATTGTAAAATTATTCTTGTTGAGATTTTTGTGTTTTTTTACAATCTTGCGTTTTTATCTTATGTTTATGTAACATATCTTATATTTACATATCTATATATAGCTTTATGATGGAATTCTGCGCAATCTGTAAGAATTACAGAAAAATCTAGAAGTTATTTTAATACTTATCTAGATAAATGAAAATATTATCATAACATTTATATTTCATATTTAAATAATCAATTAATATATCTAATTAGATACAGAAATATATTCGAATTTTTTCCTCTAGTTTTATATATGATTTACTTGTAACTTTCACAGATTACACAGTATTCGCCCATTAATTTGATATTGATTAATATGATAAATATATAGTAAAAAGTCTAGTTTTCGTTTTTATTCGGTAATTCTGATTTGACACACAATAAATAAAATAATTTATATTTTCGACATTTAATGTGAATTG